GCAGTAGATCTCCACACTGATTTATTTCAGGTTAATGCAGGAAGGCATGTCTTGCTGTATTTCCGATCCTGGCTTTGACATCCTCATTATTCGTACTAGTGCTACTATTATTGTTTTCGTTTCGTTTCTTGTGTGTTCGTACGAATTTCTAATTAACTGCGAAGGATAATTATTAACTATTAGCCCTTCTTTTACTTGTTTCAATTTCTTTTTTAGGTTATTGCATTGACTAGTCAGTTTCCTAGCTCTGTCACTTAGATATTTGACTAAGCCTGCCTTAACTGACATTGGATGGGATGACTTGAAGTCTAGATACCTGTTGGAATGTGTCAGTTTTCTGTAGACTGTAGTATCCAAACCACCGTCTGTTCCTCATTTTCATCTGCGATCCAACATTTGTAACTATCCTTGCTCATTTTCTACCTCATATGTGAATTTGATTGTGCCTACTACTGAGTTTATATGTGTAAGGAAATTCTCGATATGTTCCGATTTCAACACAGTAAATATGTAGTCCACATATGGCCACCATATTTTTGGTGCAGGATCAAACGTTTGTCAAGCCGCGTTTTCCCAACTGTCGGTAAATATATCTGCTACGATCGGGGATATTTGTGGTCCCATTGCTACTCCTTCTGTTTGTCTGTATATTTTGTCCTGAGACTTGAAGAATGTGGAGGTCAGGCAGAGCTGTACGTTTAATATGATCTCATCAACCGATATCTTAGTGCTATGAGTAAGTTCTATATTGTTGTCATTCCGTAGATTATTCAGAGGTAATTTTCACGTTTTGTTTAGTTTCACTGTCTGTTGTTTTGTGTTTTCAGTGTTACCACTGTTTTTAGTCTATTGTGACTTACCCTGAATTATCGAGCCTAAAGTTGAAGCGGCTGTTGTTATTGGAATTTCCTCTTCACATCTACTATACTTTGTATTGATCACCTTCTATGATAGCCACTATCTATTACTTATCAGCGATCTGAAACTCTTCCTCCAGTTTATCATGTATTTTTGCTCTGTGCTCGGTTGTGACTATTTATTCAAAAGCTTTCGAAACTCAGATACAACCTATTCCACTTACCTTACATTACTACTAGACTTCTGAGAAGTACAATCCATCTTACGCTGTATCTAAGTGTCCAGAAAGTTGAAATTTTCATCACTCTCATAATCTGTTACAGTCTTTCTTCTCACTGCTATCTCATGTTCTGTTTAAGGCTTTTGTACGAATTCTCAGCTGGGTTGTTTTTTGTCTGTAACAACTTATTACGAATGTGTCAACTGTATGAATTCTGAGAAGTCGTAAGAAGATCATCAGCCTAACCCATATTTTGAGGTTTTAATTGTGGTAATATTTTCAATAATTACTATTAACTAATGTTGATTAGGCCTAGTATACACCAACGATAACGGTTAACATCCATAAAAACTGTGAACAACTCTGCTCGGTTATTGTCCATGGTAGATTGTTTATGAAAAATGTGCAAATTCTACGCTGAAGATTTCAGTCAGATACCTTTCATTCAATGTTTCTGGACAATGAATTATTCAAGTGAAGTAAACTATGTTTGTTTGGTTGAAATGAAAGTTTCTGACATCAGGAAATGTTGATCAAACAGTGAAACTCTATATGGTACAGTGTTGAAGGTGGAGAGATAGAAATTCCCCGAAGTTGACTTCGGTACTTCAATGGAATTTCTTCAGACTTGTGACTAGAAATGCTTATTAACTCGTGTTGATTTTTCGAAACTTCCTTTCTGAAGTATGATTCATATAAACAGCTTCTTTTGTCTGATTTCGTCCACTGAGTCTTTAGTACGCATCTAGACTCAATCGAAGGATTCTGAGGTGGGCCTGGAGAATAGAATCTAAGCAGTAGATGGCTCGTTAAATCAAATTGTTGGCATTGTTTATTGATACTTGTACTTCCCTGTTGCCTACCAGGTGGAATTACTTGACCTCTGTTAGCAGATGGGCTCCTTAGGGGATGCCTTGATTATTATTATAATATTTATTATTATTAGTCCCTTGGGTTCCTAATGGAACATAGGGCTTCAATAGTACGTCTCCATTCCAGTCTGTACCTGAAATCTTTTCAACCTCCTAATGAGTTGTTGTTCCCCCCCCCCTGGAATTGCTACTAAAATACACTATGAATGTTTAACAATGAAATATATTGACAAGTAGATGGGATTACAATGGGCTATCATCTGGGTCCTATGCTAACGGACGTCTTTTCGGCCAAACTTGGAAACGACGCACTCAGGGACACACTTGATAAACTAGCCTATTATTGCCGGTATATAGATGATACGTTCATCACTTTGTAATAATGGCTACAACAAAGATGATCTTTTGAATACCTTCAATAATGTTCACCCAGCTATGAAGTTCACCTACAAGGAAGAACAACGGAATAGTATTTCTTTCCTAGATATCCTCCTCATCACGAAAACAGATAGGTATATAAACAGGAATATTTTTCGAAAGAACATATGGACTGGTTAATATATTCACTTTCGTAGCTTCATATCGATTCAATATACAAGAAAACTGGTCATTTGTCTAAGGTTACAAGATAAGAAACATTTATTCTGATGACTGTATTGAAGAAGAAATGAATAAGCTGAAGATAACATTCCAGCAAAATGGTTATCCACTAAACTTCATAGATAAACACGTGTCGAAACTTAGAGAGAAGATGATCAAAGACAATGTTGCTAAGAGGCCTATATATCTTAGACTAAGTTTCAAAGATGATATTGCTTCGGATATCTTAACACATCGATTAAGTAGATCAGTCAAAAAGACATTCAATCCAGCGAAACATTTTGTCAGCTTCTCAAGCAAACTATTACCGACACAGTGAACCAAGGATAGGTTATCAATGATGGTCACTTCAATGTGCATTTCTGAGTTCAATGGCTTCTGTGAAACTACTTACATACACCATACTCATAGGGCTCTATCCAGGCACTCGTGAACACATGCCACCTTGGTTAGGCAAAGGAATGACGAAGAGCATCAATAGTGCAATCCTCTCACATCTATTTGATACTGGATATGAGATTAAGGTAGATGACACCTTTTCTGTGATATACCGTGTCCCCTGTTATCTCCCCCTAAAGCTGCACGACTTCGCATTTTATCCATAGCCGAAGCCACTGGGGTCAATACAAGAAAACAGGATTTATGTGTTCAAAAGAAATATGTAAATCCACTTTGTTTACCTTGCCCCACAATAGGGTCGACAAGTTCTGTGTGAAATTTCCTACCACAAATTGCATATTTCAACCCCACCCCCACCCCCACTCCTTTCTTCTATATTGTTATTACTTTGATAAACATTCACTTACTTATGTGACTAGTTTTACGCTCTGCTTTATTCATACCCTCGGTAACGGTAGTTATTTTCACCCATGACGTAACATTTCACGTTTGTTATCCTCTATTCCGTTATAGGATTCATATGATTTTAATCCCACCTGAATATAAGTCATCACTACATAATTATCATTTGACCCTTAACTAAATCAATAAACACAATATTCATGTCACAGTTAATGTATGTAAATGAATCATTATCTCTCATTTGATCATAGGAAAAGACAAGAAGTGGTTTCAGTGAAGAAAATCTTTTCTTTTCGATCAAGTCATTTACTACTACTAAGCTGTACATTAGTGAATTTATGTTACAGTGGATAGAATGTTCCAGAGTTGTTTCCGATCAGGGTGGGGGGGGGGAGCAAAATATATTGAATAATGAAAGGAAGTTAATTAATACAGATTTGTGTTTAGAGTAAGAAAAATAGACAGGATTATAAAATTAAATGGAATTACGTAATACAGGATGAATGTATGACAAATTAGGAAAGTGAACGAAGAGTTAATGAAGACAGATACCGGATAAACTTATGACGACAGAGTATGAGAAGAAACAGGAGATCATGAAAATGAGATTATGATTACATAATGCATTACGTAAAATGGGTCATTGTGAATAAGGAAAGAACTGATATAAAATAGTGAAATATACGTTAAATGTTGTCAATGGAGTGTGAAAATTGGTGATAATGATGATGATGATGATGAAACTAAAAGAGAAGTATGCCATAGTGAAGTGAAATGAAATTGACAAAATAACCAACAAGGCCAATGTGAAGAAAGTGGTTTTGATAAAACGTTTTTCAATGTAGTTTCCGTTCTTATTCATGTATAGCTAATCCTTCAGGTCTATGCATAAGTGGTGGAAAGGTCAATCTTTGGAGTAGTTCAATTTAACTTTATAAATTATCATAAAGGGGGACTGTTGACGAGCTGAATCACCTTCATTACTAGGTGTTCACATATGGATGAAGTTGTAGTTAGCTCGCGTTTGGTAAGTCAAACTGAGTAATTTTCAGTAACACTTTTTCAGAGGACCCGCTTACAAAGTCGAATATAGTCAACTTCACAGAAGTATGTGAACCTTTAGATGTAGACATAAGTGGTAGCCTATCCTTTACACACTTTCGAATCAGACGGCAGATGGAGAAAATCGGTCTCAGTCTAGCAGCATAAAAGCTACTATTGATACACCTTGATAGATGGTTTTTCAGCACTTCAGCTGTGATGTCTCCTTTGAATTCCACATTCATGGTTAAGATTTTCTTAGGATGAAGAGTGATTCGTTTCTTCAAAATTAATTCATTCGATGTTTTAGGACATCTGTTATTCGATAGTGTTGTTCTAAGAGTTTCAATTTCAACACCCACCCTTGTCTTCTGAACACATTTTATAGATTCTGGAACCCAGTGAGTGAATGAGATTTCTTTTACAACTAAGAGGTGGCCAACCATTAAAGTTAGTGAACTGGTCGATCCAGGTTGATTTTCGATAGACTAACCTTTGAGTCTAGCCATCATCACTTCCCTTTAACGCTACATCCAGAAAGTGTAAAGTTGAATTTAACTTCTCCTCTATAGTGAATTTAATGGATGGGTGACAATCATTGAAGCGTCTTAGCAGCCCGTCCACTGAACATATTTTGTCGCAAATAACAAAAGTGTCGTCAATGTACCTTTTATATATCCAGAGAAACGTTATAAATGTATATCTTTGTAACATACCCATATAGCAAATTAGTCTAACGGAATTCATTATGCAATGGTCCTACAGTCGGAGCATGCGAGGAAATCAGTAGAAAACAAACATGATGCCTCCCCCCTCCTCTCCGCCAAAAAAAGTAACACACAAGATCTTTAATAACATCCACTTACCTTTCCAAAGGTTGCATCAAAAGTGAATCAATATATGACTCTTCATATACATGAATCCATTCTGATTTTAATTCACATATTACTTCAGATGAACATAAAAATCTGAGAAACTATAAAAATAAATGAATTATTTAATTGAATTTACCTCTTTAGAATATTGAAGTTTCATACAAAGTAAAAAGTATTTCAGTCCTTTTTCACCAAACACTTCCATTTGAAACAAAGTTACATAGAAGAGAACTATAAATGGGATAACAAATTATGAAATAATGGAGAATATTTGTAGCTCAGCTGGATGGTCTTGGTTGTGCAGTGTTTTATGAGGAGCTGGGTTGTTTAATCGTGAAGACGCTTTCATTGTCTCGCTTCTACACAGTGACATCATCAACACTAACTTCAGTATGAAGTCACCTGTCAATATCTCTCCATGACTTATTTAGTAGGTTGCCTTGACAAAACAGTCTATGATTGGTTGTTTCCTTTGATTGTTTAGATGTTCCTGTTCGCTGTCCTCTGACATTTCTGTCGTTTATCACTTTTCTCATAGGTTGATAGATTGGGTCTGTATCTATACATCTGTTGATTGTTGACTGACTGACTGACCTAAATGCTAAGTTTCTAGGAATTCTCTGATGATATTCTTTGTGTTTCCTCTGTTCACAACTTCTACAATGTTAAAACTGAATTCATATCAATAATTATCCACATGTATTGAAATGAGTGATGAAATGTCGTATGTGATGTTTAATAGCCAACTGGTGTTCATGTAGACGAAGGTGAAGAGGGCGACCACTTTGTCCAATGTAGTGTTGACTACAGTTATTCCAGTTGATTTTGTAAATGATATTTGGTTTGTCTTCTTTGGTTGTCGCATCCCTTGGTCTGCATAATAGTGTTTGGAGAGAATTTGTTGGTTTGTGAGCCACACCAATTCCAAGTGGTGTCGGTAATCTTGTCGTGATTTCTGATACATCTTCTTTATGTATGGTAGGATGATGCGTTTATTGATTTCTGTCGATGACTTTGTAGTTGATGATGTACGGGATAGGCATCTTCTGATAAAGTTTCGTGGGTAGCCGTTCTTCTTTATAGTGGACACCAAGTAATTTTCTTCGTTTCTCCATGAAGTTGTTGTACTGCATTGTGTTCCCGCTCTTCTGAATAGAGTCTGCACGCAACTGATTCTGTATGTTGTTGGGTTGTTGCTATTTTAGTTGAAGAATTGGTCAGTAAGTGTGTGTTGGCTTCCTGTACACTTGGGTTTCCAACTTCCCTGTATTTGTTCTATTGACCAGAACATCCAGGAATGGTAGTTGGTTGTTTCACTCTTTCTCCATTATGAATTTGATGTCACTGAAAACGTTGTTGATTAAATTGTGGGTGTTTTCTGTATCATCTTTTTTATTGATGACAAAAGTGTCGTCCACATAGCAAATCCAGAATTTCGGTTTGATCATGGTAGGATGATGGCTTCCAGTGTCTGCATCACTGCTTCTGCAATCAGTCCGGATATCAGTGATCCCATTGGAGTTCCTTTCATCTGTTTGTATATCTTGCCGTTGAATTGGAAGTATGTTGTCAGACAAACGTCGATGAGTTCCATCAGACTTGAACATTTGAGTTTTGTGCGTTCTGTAAGGCCTATGTCTTCACTGAGCAGAAGGGACATAGTTTCCTTGGCCAATTGGGGTTCGATGGATGTGTATAGTGTTGTGCAATAGAAGGATACCATTAATTCGTCCTTTTCTATGTTACTGTTTTTGATCTTTTCTAAGAATTCCGTTGGTGATTTGATGGAATGTCTGTTGATGATATCGTCTAGAAGGACGATGAAAGCGTTTTCACGATTAAACAACCCAGCTCAGAGAACACAATACAACCAGGACAATAGATGAATATATGCCCCTATCAGAAAGCTTTAAAAAGTCACATTAACTTGACAATATAAGTACATGACTCTCATAAATTATTCAGATTACTTAATACCTACCTAAGTGTAATCACTCTAAGATGTAGTTAGTGTTGAACGCATACCACCTAACCATTGAATAGTAACTCAGCATTATCCTATTCAACCCGGGTATCTAATGCTAGCTAGATTCAGTTATTCATCTTTCCAATATTGTAACCACTCCCAATACCTCAACACTGACTTATATGGATGGTATTTCAGTGAGGAATCTTGTTTCATTTAAACAACTGGTAGCTTGTTGATAACTATCAAGTAGAAATGTCACCAACCTTAAGATAAAATAATCTCCATCAGTGATAAGAGCTAAATTAATTCAACAAAGATAACAATAAGTCTTCACAATGAATCTAAACATGATCTCAATGTTAAAATGTTTTATTGGCATAGGTAAACATAAAAATATAGGACAGATAGAGTCAAGTTAACTCTTACCGCTACATCACTTTTTATAAATGTTACACTGATATTTTAGAAATTATTACAAAAACAAATTGAGTACCAGCTAAACGGTAAACGATTATAAGGAATTTTTATGACAGTACACTTAGTATAATATAAGGGTTTCTATATGATAACGTCGTCGATTGGACCGAATTGATCGGTTTCTATTAGCATGTGGGCTCGTGTTCAGATGCCTCGATATTGCCTGCCTTCTAATTATGTTAATGATGGATCGTGGGTAGCAGTGGAATCCACTATGCGCATTTCTTCCTATTTAGGACTCGTCAGCTGGATTGTGCCTGCTTCCCAGTCAGTGATGTTGTTCCCACCACGATTCGGACTCGAGAGAGATCGCTTCAAACGCCAGCGCGTTATCCACTACACCACCGAGCCACAATAGCCACTTCTTGTGCAACGGGCATAGTTTTTAGTATAAGGGTTTTTATATGATACCACTGGCGTTTGAAGTGATCGCTCCCGAGTCTGAATCCCGGTGGGAACAACATCACTCGTTGGGAAGCAGGTACATCCAGCTGACGAGTCCCAAATAGGAAGAAATGAGCATCCTGGATTCCACTGCTAGCCACGATCCATCATTAACATAAGTACACTTATGTTCAGTTTCTAAGTAAGATCAGCATACGATCAGACATTACTGCACAACGATCCAAGTTGTCATATCTCACCTCATCAAGGCAACAAGGCAATAAAATGGAAGATGAAGAAGGAAAGGAAAATCGGTCGAATGAAGTAGAATGTAGTAAAAGAAAGGAAGGAGGAATGAGAAGATGGTGAGACTAGGTAAGTGTGGACACATCTGCGTCACTGACATCGGTTCTCAGTCACATCATCACCTAGAATCACCAACCACTGGTTCCGCTTATCCCCCCACGGACACCAACCACCAACAGTCAAACACTTCATACATTGGTGACATGTTTGGCCACCTCGGGCCTTTTTCCAGCCTGGACCTACTTCGGCCAACATTGTATGATGAGGAAGACGGTGACTAGGCATATGTAACACATGTCTCAACCATTTCAGTTGATAAAGGTTCACAACCTCGTCAACCGACTTACCTCTTCTCCCTCCCTAGAACTCTACACCTGACTTCTGAGTTACTCGAGTGGTGACACCATGGAATATGGCCTATACTATGAAGGCAACGGTGGTCAAACACCTCAAGCCTTCTCATATCTTCCACTTTCAATGGCCATGTTTCACAGCCATACAGTAGAACAGACCGGACTTCTGTGCAGTATACGCGATCCTTAATAGACAAACGGATATCGCGGCGGCACCACAGACGGCATAAGTTGACAGAAACCAACCAAGCCTTTTGTGTCTCTGCAGAGATATTTCCTCGGCCACTGACCAACGCACTAAGGCTGATCCGACTTCCCAGGTAACTGAAGTGTTTAACGCACACAACCACTTCACTCTCTATTGTTAGCCCAGGCACTGTTGAAGAACAATGGTGGAGCAACAATTTGCATATGGGTGGTGAGAAACTCATCCCAAACATTCTCAAATTGCCTCCCAAAGTGTTAAGAACAATTTGCATCTCGTCACCATCTTCATCTAACAGGACTACGTCATCTGTGTATTTTAGGTCTACCCAAAATTCTCCTGAGATTAGGTCAATCCCTGTACGATCAGATGACGAGAGGGAGACCTCCATAAGAACATCTACGATAAAACTCAATAACAATGGAGAGAGTGGACATCCTTGATGGACACCACTCGGTGCACACAACTCACCCGATATCTCCCCATAGGCTCTAACATGCCCAACAGATGTTCGAGTAAAGAGCCTCCAAAAGAGTGAGGTACTTACTCGGCATCCGTTTCAATGAGAAACACTTTCATAATACCTCTTGATTGACGGAGTCAAATGCTGCCTCCAGGTCGACAAATATACCCATTGTCAGGCGCCCTAGAACTGTGTATACCGACAGGTAGATGGAGTGACAACCACTTGCCGACCTGCTCATTCCAAAATTGAGAGACGATATTCTGAACGTGTACATAAACCTAATGAATACTTAATACAGATATATGAGCTTAAAAATCTGAGAAAAACTCTTGCCAATAACCATTCCTATTGAAAGAAACAAAAGGCAGGTATGCAAGAAGGTATGCACAATGTCAACAAGTGGGACAGTAGTCGTTTAATATGGTACACATTGCACTAAAACCGTCATATGCAAAATATGCTTCATTTCCTCTTCTGCTTTTTTCTTCATTTGCTCTTCATACACCTACCTTGTCTCTTGCTTCTCTCTTGACGGAATCCTTACCCATTCCTGGTAATTCACTATGATTTCTGTCACCCTCTCAACATATACTACTTATATCCACTCTGATCAGCAACGCCCACTACACTATCAAGATAAGAATTGACAATAAACCATTCTGGAGTGAATACTAAAAATATTGCTATAATTTGGTATCATCGATATAAAGGAGAAAGGATTTACTTACATTTTTGTTCACAATAACAAACAGAATATTTGTTGATAGAAAAAGTCACAAAATTGGATGAACATATGCACACAGAACAGATATCCTGCTAGTTGTAATAAGAATATGACCAGAAGTAAGGACAAGTCAAGCACCTGCAACACCGATAACAGGCAAATATTAACTAACCGGGACTCTAGAAACAGTAATATACCCAAAACTAGTAAAAATGCACGGCAATACCCAATAGAGAAACCTTAAACCACAGTGTCTCCAAGACTAACTTCTAACAACAGATGAGATTCAACACCGAATCTAGAAGATAAGACTTCTCATATACCCCTGCCAATGAGTATTTATAAAT